CCCTAACCCTAAAGGTCCCTGGGTTCATTGGCAGAGTAACCTAACACCTGCTGGGGGCAGGTGAGGGGGAGTGACTGTCCCCTGAGCAAGGAGAGCCATAGCATATATCTGCTCCCATAGATAAAGCTGCAGGCTAGATAGCAATCAGGCATGTGCTTTTAAGAGGTAGTGCTATTATGAGAGGATATTGTGGGCGTCAATATTAATTTTGAGAATGTGATTAAGACTCATCTCTAACTCACTAGTGTGAAGGCCTCTCTCCACCCCAGAATCCTAGCCTGCTAGGCTTCTTAAAATAGAATAAAGAATGTGCCCACATACACTCTTCCCAGTCCTCTGTTTCCCACAGAACAAGGTTATGGAAAAGTACAAAGTATGATAAGGGGATCTGGAGGGAATAAATTTGGGAGGCAGGACAAAGGAACATTTATTTTGGGCACCAGCTGACCACCAGTCACATGTTTCCTGGCACATTAGATCATGTCGGCACCCATACCCCAGCCTCTGAGGACAGTAAAGCCGAATTGGTTTCTCTGTTATCCTAGTAGATGCTGAAAATTTGAAAGCAAAGAGTGTTGAAAAATAAAACATCACAAGTGAAAATGGTAATGCTCTTTTGCTTAAGAGGAAAACAAAGGGTTCAGAGGGAAAAGCTATAAGCATGCCTCCAGTTAGCATGACTTTACTCTAACTATGAATACATCTCTCTGTAGCTGAATCAGATCTTGTTCCCCCAGGCTCTTATGAGCAAGGTAAGCAAAACCACCCTTTTTGGTAGATCTGCTTATAGAGAAGTCAGGTGCAGTGGAGATTTTTACAAAGGTGCCTTGCTATGTTGTGTGAAAGGAAAGTACACCCCCCTCACTACCATGATCCCAATTCTACCACAATTCAAATCCGGCTAGACCAGAGGATGTACACTGGTGCAGACAGGAACCAGGAATCCAGGGCAGATGATCCCTTCAGCACCTATAACGAGAGTAGAGATACCAGGAGGGTAAGGGTAAGGTGGGGGAAAAGATCACAATGATCTACATACAACCCCCTCCCTGGGGAACGGACTACAGAAAAGTGGGTGAAGGGAGACACTGGACAGTGTAAGACATGAAAAAATAATAATTTACAAATTATCAAGAGTTCCTGAGGGAGGGAAGATGAGGAAGGGAGGGGGAAAATGAGGAGCTGATACCAAGGGCTCAAGTAGGAAGCAAATGTTTTGAGAATGATGAGGGCAACAAATGTGCTTGACACAGTGGATGAATGGATGGATTGTGATTGTACTAGCCCCAATAAAATGATTTTTTTAAAAGGAGTTTACAATAAATGTACTATGGAGAAAGGGGACATTCTGTTAATCTATACTTGCATGCTCAATCTAGGTCTATAGTGGCTGACCTCTCAATTAGTCTACCCACTGTCATTTTTTTTCTTGTAGCATGAATAAATACTGGATTTTTTTTCTTGCCAAAAAAAAAAAAAGTACAAATGGAATCACTGAAGACAAGGAGGAGAGATTTGGCTTCGACCTTAGCTAGAGCTTTTAATTCTTTCAGAAGCCTTAGTTAACGTGTGTATGTACACATATATAATATATCCACTTCCTGTTTAATTTTACAACTTTCTATTTTAGTTACGACAGTGAATGCAGAAGTTCAGTAAACCATCCAGGCAGTGTCCAGATTACAAATGGTTTCCTTTCCTAAATCTGCCTATAAGTTGAATTTGAATGTCAATTGGACAGTTAGGTATGTTCGTATCTAATGTTAGCCAGTCAAATGCATTTCTTAGTGTATGCTAAGAGCCATAGATTTTTTTCGTGCTTTTATTCAATTCCTACTTTGGGATATTAAGTGAGCAAATGCCCTTGCACATAATATAGCTGAATAAGTGGAAATAGCAATTTACCCCGTAGCTAGTCTTCTTTCAGATAGTCTCCTAGTGACCCT